CTTTTTTCATTTGTTGAACATTAAAATTAAACATTGCGGTCAGCACATGCTCAACCAAGGTCCAAGACCATCCACCCCCCTAACATTGGTGGTTGATAGGTGTAGGTAGATTGTACCATACTAATTATTGAGTATTTATCAATTTATCGATCTTGAACTTTGAAAGTCTTAAGGGGATTTGTCCTAATAAAAGTTTATAAGATATAGTTTAGTTTCCTTAAATATAGAAATAATAAGATAATTTACCCCCTCTAACTATTAATAATTTTATATGGACTATATATTACGCACTTAAGCCTACATTTTTAATTATACAACATTTTAACTTTTGAAAGAAACTGAAAAAGTAAGAGGATTTGTAAACTTGAATTCCTACAAATTTGTATTAACTATATAATTGAGTGTATAAATTTCCGAGTTTGGTATCTATAGGTAACTGCCAGCTGGTACTTTGGTTTAATATGCACGCATTGCCCGCAATGAAACTGAAACATCCTCATTGGTCAACTTTTATTAATTCAACAATAAAAAAATAACTCCAAATTTTTGCTTATGAGGGTAGTCATAGGATTTTTTTTAACCGTAAAATTATAAAACAATTTTAAACATCTTACCATTCCAAGATCTTCTCCGACACACGCCATGTGGCACTATAAAAAGTATAAATAAATAAATACATTAATACCTATATTAATATATTATTATATTAAAAATAGGTAAAATAATATGAATAGATATTTAATTATAATACGTACTGTACATTGCTTATATTTAGCTTGAGTTATATCATATTTAGTTGTTATCATTTCACCGCACGTGCCTAAAATATGGATTATTATTATAATTTAATTAGTAGGCATAGTAAAAATGTCAGTGACTTGGTGAGGCGTGGTCGTACGCTCAATCTACGGAAACGCATTGAGCGTACGTACCGATCGTAGTCGTCAGCTCCCGGATGGATGACCACCGGGGAATTTTAGCAACATATCCTTGCCACACATAMACAAATACCTGTTAAAAATCTACCAACTTAAAAAAATACAAAATAACCCCTACCGTAGGGTGGTACTACACTCAATAGCCTGTTTTCACGGGTCCCCCTAATAAAAAAATTAAAAAATTCCAAATATCATAATTCATAACAATAGAATACCTTAATTMTATTGGAATTGGATAAACTGTGTACAATAATGTTATATAATTCATAATAATTACAAACAAAATAAACTTGGGTATAACCAATTTTTAAATTAATATTAAGTATCCGTACGACCGTACATACCAAATTACACCAGTTAACCTAACCTAACCTAACTTATTCGAAAATTCTTCAACTTTATTAGGTACTTTGTATTTACTATTCATCTAATATTTTCGATTTCGTGTTGAAAATGTTCAACAAATCCTTCTGAAACCAACTTTTTTTACTAACGGCGATGGCCTTTTTTATATCCCTGGAGTTGTGGCCGGTGAGTAAGCAAATATGGTTGATAGGTACTATAGGCTGATAATAACCCACGTCTATTCTAAGTTTTTATTGAAGACCATTCCATTTCTTGAAAGTGACGATATCTTGTCCCGTGTCCTAATACAGGGTGAAAGGACCGTCGCCGTATTTTATTTTGAAGAGGAAACATGATAATCGCTATCACTTCCAATTGTTACGTTCGATGTTACAAGATTTTCTGCAGTAACACCTGATCGAATTATTGATTTACGTAGCTGGAGGCATGACTATGATTATAATAAGACAAGTTATGGGTTTGTATCTCCGAGAAGTGACGTGGTGTGACCTTCATGCAAGTACATCTAATTTGATTATGTATGTGCTATTTTTTCTAAAATATTACTTTAAAAATAAGTTTCTCAAATATTGTGCATTGCCACTAGTAAGACCACAAAATACTCTAATGATTGAATTTTGAATCGCTGAAGAAATTGCAGCGATAACTTGACTAGGCATTACCGATCCATCGAAATGTAGATATATCGAAAATCTTGTAACGAAAACTTCAGAGTGCTTTCATAAATACATTGCTGTCATCTTGTTGATATAATTTTCAATATTCAAATAATGATGAAAATATGTGATAACCTATTACAGTAGTCACTCGATAATTCGAAGAACTCCATAAATCGAACTAAAAGTCCCCTGAGAAAACCTCTATAATTAGAAAAAAATACATGTATTCCGGTCCCCTCGATAATTTGAAATGTCTGTCGGTGAAGTTACCTAACCTAACCTCTATAATTCGAATTTCTTTTAACACAGTTGTATCTTATATGTAAGTTCATGTGTATAAAGATTATGTACATTTATTTAACGTGCTCGAAATGAAACTAATAACGACGGTGGTTAAATATTATCGAATCTTACCTATACCTAATCTACTCGTATAGGTGCATTTTAATCATATCATTTTACCAAAATAAACCTCTGCAATATGTAAACCTTTATTGAAATGTAATTAAACGTAATCAGTCGCAATATGGGTACCGTAAAGTACAAGTGTTTGTCGATAGCCGACAAAAAGAAAGTGATCGTGGCAGTTGAAGCAGGTTAAAAAAAAGGTGTTGCTCTACGTTTTGGTATCCCAGCTTCTAGGCTTTCAACAATACTTCAACAAACGGATCATCTTACAACATTAACACCTTATTCATCGCGGACCAGACAAAAAATGTGAGTAACCCCCCCACCATCTTATGGCTTGGTATACTTCAATATAATAATAAATTAATATCAATTAATAATTTTAGAATATCATAATATTAAGTATAATAAATAAATGTCAAAATAAACGTAATAATATATATGTATATACATACAATTTTTCATCTCTCTTTTATTCGAATTCATTTTTTTCCTCAATTATTCAAAAACCTCTATAAATCGAATGTTTAACTCGGTCCCTTGAATTTCGAATTATCGAGTGATTATGCTGTACTTTGAATATCATATACCGTTTTTCTCTAAGTTATAACTATTATGTATTGTTTATAGTTTCTCATAACTCGTCGATCAACATTATGTTATGAACATGCATATTTATATTTTATAATACATTTTAAATTTACTTTATTATTTAAATGTATAAACAATGAAGTTATCAGTATTTACTATTTTATAAGTAGGTGTATATTATATTGTAACTTGTCTACTGTATACAGGTGTAATTGTGGAAATGTGTAATTACTAATTAATTGAGTATTTTATCGTGAATGAAAGAAAGAAAATTTTATGTAGGTATTATTATTAATATTTAATAATGGTAATATGTAATAATTAATRGTGTTATATATTACCTATCTGTATACCTTTCTTAGTTTCGTAGATACACGATCATGTATTTTAGTATTTACGATCTAAGATTTGTTTGTGATGAATTTATATTATTTTGGTTAGGTTAGGTTAGGTTAAAAAATTACGGATTACAAATAACTATTTTAATGTACCTAATTGATAATATTGTAAATATGTAATAACATAACAAATTAATTTTAAATAATAATTACGTAACACAGATATGCTATTTACCCCAATCAGCATCCTTAAAACATTTAAACACCACGGTGAATAATTTTGACATTAATTCCTTATCCCCTGCATCTGCGTCATCAGCAGCCTGAAGTCAACAGAAATAAAAATTAATTAGCAGGCATGATGGATCCAAAAATATTTTATGGGAGCAGCAGGAGTGTGCATAACATATTAAATAAACTTGAGTTATCATAKATTTTTTTAATCCTATAATGTTATTATATACATATTAATTATTATGCTATTAGTATATTTAGTATAGATAATAATTATTTAAAAAACAAATTTGTTAGGTAAACGTCAAGTGGGGGACTTTTCTCCCCCTACAACCTACTAATTAAACAGATTTATGTTTAGTTTAATGTACCACTATAAACAGTAAAACAATTTATATTAAACATTGTAAACTAATAATTATTTAATAACACATTGTTTTAGTACATAATACATTATTATTAATAGTTAATAAACACTATTTAAAGACCAAGATTTATTTATTGAGGTTTTTTTGATAATTCAAAAATTTTTTTTTCGGCGTCAAGGGTTATGTTTTTATGGACAAATGTAAAATGGTTACAGTTGGTACATTAAACTATAACATAAAAAATCTCTGATGAGGCTATCTCCATAATTCCCCCTACAAAAAAAATTATATCAGTGGTTCTTCGTCATTGAATAAGTCACTGGATGTGTAAAATTTGAATTCTATGAAATCATTGTAATATTGCACACAAACGAAAAATGATTTTGAATA